TAGGGCTGGCCTGCAAGGGATCTCAGAGGTTATCTAGTCCAACCTCCTGCTCCAGCAGGAGATCCTTACAGAATCAAAGAATAGCAGGGTTAGAAGGGAGTGTGTGTGTGTGTGTGTGTGCATGGCTGTCAAAACTCAAGTAGCTCTGGGGAGATCAGTCATAAATTAGAACACTTGCTAAGCAACCAGCCATTAAGTGAGGACCACTTGTGGTTTGCCAGTCACATGGCCACACCCACCCAGTCACACAGCCACCAAGCCACGCCCACCCGATCACGTGACCTCCAAACCATGCCCACCTGGTCACATGACCAAGCTACACCCACAAATTAAGCCATGCCCACAAAACCGGTTGTTACAAAATTTGAATCCCACCCCTGACTATATTGTGTGATATAGCACTGTCTCATAGGATCCAGCTTGCTTCTAGGCTAATTCCCAAACTGCCTTGCCTCCCCCTTTGGTTAAGGAGGAAATGCCTGAATTTGTGTTTTGTTTTGCTTGTTTCTAAGGGGTTTAAAACCATCACTTCTAAAAGGAAGCTTCCCATCAATGACTAGTACAAGGGGAAACTATGCTGCTGTGAAGTGGCATAGGAACCAGATCTCATTTGGACCACCTTCCCCTAATTTGTTCTGCCTGACTCAGAAGATTTTGCAGAAGGGGCTCATTTTAGGTCCCTTCACTTAGATTCCACCAACTGCAGGGCTTGGGAGGAGGCATTTTCAAATGCTGTCCACCTTCTTTGGAGCAGCATTCCAAAGTTAGCACCCACCCCTCTCCTAGAAAATTGAAATAATCTGGGAAATATTAAAAAGACAGGATATTTCCCCTAAAAAGAGTAGAAACTCAGAAGCAGAAACTCACCTCAGAGAGGCAGAAACTCAGCCCCCCCACCTTTGCTAATGGGCCATTAAGGCCTAGGTCAGAGTATTCTACATAATAAAGGCCTCTACCCATCTCACCACCTGGCCTGGGAAGATTGTAGCAGCCATGTGGTCCAGACAAAGCCTACAAAGTTAGTTAAGACCCCCACCCCTGGGAGTCTGACAGCCAATGGGATACATTTCTTACACAGGAGCAGGAAACGCTAAGGTGGGGCCCAACAGAGGGTATATAAGGGTCTCTCAGCATCTTGGCCCTCCCTTCTCTTTTCCTTCACCTTGAAACATGTGATCATCCTCCTTTGGAGCTCCAAGCCATGTGGTCCTGTCCACCATTAAACCATCTTTCCAAACAGCCTCCAATGTTTCCAGTGTCTTTTTCCTCACATGGAACTGAACCCAGAAGGATAATTCTTCCAACAATTCCTTCTGAGTTCTAAATGGCACCTAATCTGCTGGGTTTCAAAAGACCATCAACATTGCAAACATTTCATTATCTGACAAGGTAACTGTTATATTCTGAGCATGGGTGCAAGGAACGGAGATGGCCATGATCTTGCTCTGTACCGTGTGGTCATCTAATCCCAGAACTATGCAGTCTCGCAAAGCTTCTTCGAGGTTGGAAAACCCACAGAGGCCTCCCAAGTTCCGGAGGTCAGCGATGAAGTCTGCAAGACTTTCGCTTTTCCGTTGGTCCCTCTGGTAAAATTCGTGCCTTCGGACAAGTGTTGGCACTGCGGGTGCATAGTGGGCCCGTAGGAGGGGCGCGAGGGTGTCCCAATCCATCGATTTCACCTCAGCCGGTTTTGCAAGTGATTTCGCCATCTTAAATACGGCCGGCCCGCAATGGGTCAGGAATATTGCTCGTTTCTTGCCGGTTGTAGCGTCCTTTAAATTATTGGTCTCCAGAAACATCTGGAACTGATCCATATACGAGTCCCAGTCTTCGTTTGCCGGGTCAAATGGAGCGGGTGGTATAGCACCGCTGGCCATATTGCCGTCGTTGGTGCGTGTTCAGCCACGTGCTCTGTTTGGCGCTCTTTAGTGTTCAGTCAGCTCTATCGTCTCCGGATCCCATCCTCGTTGCCAGTGTTATATTCTGAGCATGGGTGGAAGGAACGGAGACGAGTCAGAGAACTAGTGAACTTCAACTCTTTATTAAGGATTAGGAACAGAGCGTGAAAACCCTGGGCAACAGCAGCTCTTTTATAGAGCTGGCTGTTGACCCGTTAACCAATGAATTGTGTCCAAATGCTTAACTTTTGCCCAATGAGAGATGTTCGACTAATAGCCAATCAGGCTGCTCCGTAAGGACCAATCCCTGTTCGCTATCCATGGGCCAATCAAAGGTGCAGGATTACAAGCCTGCTTATCATGAGGTTGACAAGTTTTATTAAATAGTTTTTATTAGTCCATAACAGTAACATCATCAGTGCTAGTCAGTGTAGAGTTTGATTTCTGTTTATTTATTTTTATGTATTTATATTTCATGTTTCTAAACTGCCCATCTCCCTCAAAGAGGGCCTCACTCGCTTATATACTCAGTAGAACTGATAATGTTACATAGTTGGGTAATGCAACATCTGGAAGAAAACAACCAAATTCAGAAAGGACAGTTCAACTCTGAGCTACAAATATTATCTTCTGTAAGTTCCAGTATGCAACTATTTATGTACTTGTTTGTTTGTTTATTCATGTCAGAAGCAGAAACATTCATGTGCTGCTCTCATCTTTCTTACAACTAATGTCACAAAGGTTTTCCCCTCCCCTTCCAACCTGCATGATCCATCTCTTCTCTAATATTTTACCATCTAAGAAGAACACGAGGGATGTGTTTGTTTTTTTAAAGGCATTAGGAGCCTTTTTATAGCCAAACTGTCAACTCTGAATCAAACCTGGCTGATTTCTTTGGGTGTGTTACTCAGAACGCTGACACAAACACTTAAAAAGGTAAACAGACATACTTATCTCCAGCTGTCTCTGGATACGATCTTTGCATCGATCTCTATATTTAGACTGAGTTGTGTTGTATTCTGTCATCACCTCCACAAACTTGCGAGATAGTGTGGAATGCTAGGGAAGAAAATGAGATGGTTACAGAGGCAAAGCATAGATAGATAGATAGATAGATAGATAGATAGATAGATAGATAGATAGATAGATGGATGATAGATATAGATATGGTTGGAGGGATGGGTGTAGAGAGATAAAAAGATAGAGAGCTATAACCCTGCTGAAGGTTTAAAAAAAACCCTTCTTTCTCATCCTCTGTTTCAAGGAAGATTTGATTCCATTGAAATGTAAAGGAAGGGAACTGGGGTTTCTATTGTGTATCTTTTTGAGTCAAATTCTATGCCCCAAAATATGGTTAAGGTGTAAATCAGGAACCTGGTGATCAGCTTTTTTTCAGGTTTTTTTTAAATCTTAATTTGAAAACCTGTTGCATCTATGGTGTTTAAGGTAGGAAAGCAGATAGGGCCAAAGTGTGGAAATTGGTCTTAGCTAAGCAAAGGAAGTGATTACAAAAACAACCCAAACAAACCAAAACAAAACCCACATATAGATTTAGTAGCTTCAAGGGAGAAGAAGATTTCTACTAGAAAAAAAAAAAAACATCCAGAAAGTCTCGGGGTGGTGGTGGCGGAGAGAGACCACATGTGTGGGATTAGTTTCAGTGTTAAAATGTTAAATGTTAAGATATTTAATAGCTGGAACAGTAAAGTGTATTCTGTAATGGGCCACAACGCACAGTTGTAGTTGATTGGTTGAAGAGTGCAGTCTCCTGCATGAGGCAATCTATGTTATGATTGGCTGCTGGGTGAGAAGGGGCAGTTTCCCTTTTTCCCACCTTTTTACAGATACAGATAATCAGAGTTGGAAGGGACCTTGTAGGTCATCTTGTCCAACCCCCTGCCCAAGCGGGAGACCCTACACCATTTCTGACAAATGGCAGTCCAATCTCTTCTTGAAAGTCTCAACTGATGACACTCCCACAACTTCCGAGGGCAAGCTGTTCCATTGGTTGATTGTTCTTGCTGTCAGAAATTTTCTCCTTATTTCCAGGTTAAATTTCTCCTTGTTCAGTTTCCATCCATTATTCTTTGTCTGGCCTACAGGTGCTTTAGAAAATAGCTTGACCCCTTCCTCTCTGTGGCAACCCCTCAAATATTGGAAGACCACTATCATGTCTCCCCTGGTCCTTTTCTTCACTAGACTAGCCAAGCCCAGTTCCTGCAACCGTTCGTTGTATGTTTTAGCCTCCAGTCCCCTAATCATCCTGGTTGCTCTTCTCTGTAGCTTTTCTAGAATCTCAACATCTTTTTTATAATGTGGTGAACAAAACTGGATGCAGTACTCTAGGTGTGGTCTTACTAAGGCTTTATAGAGTGGTATTAGTACTTCCCTTGATCTTGATTGTATCCCTGTTAATGCAATTTAGGATTGCATTAGCTTTTTTGGCTGCTGCTGCACACTGCTGGCTCATATTTAGCTGGTTGTCCACTAAGACTCTCACAGTTACTGCTATTGAGCCTGGTTTCACCCAGTCTATATGTGTACTTTTGGTTTTTCTTGCCTAAGTGTAGAACTTTACTTTTCTCTACATTGAATTTCATTTTGTTAGATACAGCCCAGTGTTCTAGTCTGCCAAGATCCATTTGGATCTTGAGCCTCTCTTCTTGGGTGTTAGCTATTCCTGCCAGCTTAGTATCATCTGCAGATTTGGTGAGTTCCCCTTCTATTCCCTCATCAAAGTCATTTATGAAGATATTGAAGAGTACTGGGCCTAAGACGGAACCTTGTGGCACCCCACTGCTTACTTCCCACCATGTAGACTTAGACCCATTTAGGACTACTTGTTGAGTATGGTTTGCCAGCCAGTTGCGAGTCCATCTAGTGGTGGTGCTATCTATTCCACTTTTTTCTAGCTTACTAAGAAGTAGGTTGTGGTCTATTTTGTCGAATGCCTTGCTGAAACCTAAATATATTATGTCCACAGTATTTTGCTGGTCTACTAATTTAGTCACTGTGTTGAAGAATGAAATAAGATTGGTTTGGCATGATCTGTTCTTAAAAAAGCCGTGCTGACTGCTAGTTATTACTTTACTTGTTTCTAGATGTTGGCAGATCTGTTTTTTTTATTATCTTTTCCAGTATCTTCCCGAGTATTGATGTTAGGCTGATCGGTCTATAGTTTCCTGGGTCTGTTTTTCTTCCTTTTTTGAAGATGGGAACCACATCAGCTCTTTTCCAGTCCTCTGGTAGTTCCCTGGTGCTCCAGGATTTTTGAAAGATATGGTGCAGTGGTTCTGAGATGACCTCTGCCAGCTCCTTTAAAACTCTGGGATGTCATCCATCAGGCCCTGGTGATTCGTTTTCATCAAGATCAGACAGGTGTTCTCTTACTATTTTTTTGCTTATTTTAACTTTTATTTCTGGTCTGTCTTTTACAGTTATGTTTTTGGTGGGTTGAGCTATAGTTTCTTTTTGCGTGAAGACGGATGCAAAGAATGAGTTAAGCAGTTCTGCTTTCTCTCTGTTGCCTGTGACTTCCTTGCAATCTTCTCTCTTTAGTGGACCGTTTCCTTGATTTTTTTCTTGTTATTTATATGTTGGAAGAAACTTTTTTTTTATTATCTTTGACTTTTGTTGCAAGTCTTTCTTTGTTCTGAGCCTTTGCTATCCTGACTTCATCTTTTCAGATTCTGGCTATGTGCTGATATTCTGCCTTAGTTGTATGTCCTTTCCATTTTTTGTACTTGTCCTTTTTTTCTTTCAATTTGCCAGAGAGATCTTTGTGTAGCCATGCTGGTTTCTTCTTGAATTTCTTGTTTTTCTTTCTCAGTGGTACTGTGCTGGTCTGGGCTTCTATGATCATAGTTTTCAGAGTTTCCCAAGATTCTTGAGTTGTTTTCCCCTTTAGGATTTTCATCCATGGAACCTTTCCCATGTTCTCTCTAAGTTTATTGAAATCAGCTCTTTTAAAATCCAAGACTCTGGTGTCATTATGTTCTATTGCTTGTGTTTGTGTTATGTTGAATTCTAGTATGACATGGTCACTCTCACCCAAGGTTCCTGCAGTTTCAACTCCCTCTTTCACTTCTTCTCTGTTTGTAAGATTTAAGTCCAGTATGGCTGTCCCTCTAGTTTCACCCTCTACCTTTTGGACAACAAAGTTGTCAGCTAGGTTGGTTAGGAACTTATTTGATTTCTCACTTGGTGCAGAATTACTTTTCCAATTGATATCAGGATAATTGAAGTCTCCCATTACTATTGTGTGTTTCCTGCATATGTTTGTTAGTTGGCTGGCAAAAAGGACATCTATTTTTTCTGCTTGATTGGGTGGCCTATAATATACACCTATGGCCATGTCATTCTTTTTTTCTTTTACATTGACCCATATGCATTCTGGGAGGTTTTCATCTTTGGTTTCATGCATTTCTGTAGCAATATAGTGGTCCTTTACATACAGTGCAACTCCACCTCCTCTTTTATGGGGTCTGGTTTTTTTTTGGAATAGTTTGTATCCTTCTTCCAGTATGTTCCAGTCATGGGTTTCATCCCACCAAGTTTCTGTTATTCCTACTATATCATATTTACCTTCATGTATTCGTAGTTCGAGTTCACCCTGTTTGTTCCCCAGACTTTGTGCATTTGTATATAGGCACTTGAGTTCTTTATGTCTGACACTGTTTACTGTCTACATAACCTGTGTTGTGCCTGACTGCCCCTACTTTCTTGCCACCTGTTTGATTAGTGCACATGGTATGGCACTCACTATTAAATACTTGGTTTTGCTTGACAGCAAGGTTGATAATCTTACCTGCACAAACATCTATTTTGCATGCACTGGTATCCTTATTAGTTTTAGGTTGCTGGGGACAGAAATGTTCTGAATCCATTAATTTTCTGTCCTTGCTGTTCAGTGTAAATGTTTATCCAGGAAATCTGTGAATTTAATGCCAAGTAACTCAGTCCCTTTCTTTGATGGATGCAAACCATCTCTTTTGTGCAGTTTTTCATTGGACCAGCTGCAGACATCATGACTAATAAAACCAAAGCCTTCCCTTTTAAACCACTCCTTTAGCCACACATTAAACTCTTCTACACGCTGCCCTTTCCCTTTTTGTTCCTTGAATACTGGTAGAACCTCTGAAAAGATAAGCCTACAGCCCATATTACTATGTTCACACCCCAAGCTCTGGAAGTCTTTCTGAACAGAAAGTACATCCTTCTGGGATAGATCATTTGTACCAAGATGTATAATAGCATCAACATCACAGTCCTTGCTCGCATTCTTGACTATCTTAAGAATACGCTTCTTGTCTCTGCTGGCAGTAGCACCTGGTAGACACCTGACCTCTTTCAAAACCTCCGTATCCTTTCCTAAATTTACATCCCTTACAATTGAGTTCCCAACCAGAAGGTGGCTTCTCTTTTTGGATGCCTTGCTCTTCTTGTGTGACTGGTGCGTAATACCTGATTCACACTTTCTCCTTTCCAAAATATTACACTGAACTAAGCCGATCATTTTGAAATAAAATAAAATCACAATCTCAAGTGCAGTTACCCTAAATGTCTTATTGGTATTCTTGGTTTATAGTTATGTGATTTGCACGCCGTTAGGCACGCGGGCCACTATCTTTCTCCTTTCTACTCACCCTCTGCTTCATTCACAAGCAGCCAGCAGTTCCTCCCACAACCTCTGGGAATTTGAACTGCAATGGTAGCAATTCAAACTGCCTGTCTCTTTTCTACTCACCCTCTGCTTCCTT